ACCGGAACAGTATGCATTTTAATTAGGCGTAATTGTGTTACCGGCTATGTTGGATGAAATGAGCGATAATTGAAGTTTTAAAGTAATAATAAATGTTCAAGAAATGAAGGTAAACAAAAACCGTGATACGCTTATCCCCAATGCCTGCGTAGTATGTGCTTAAATTTGATCCTGTCGAAGAAATAAACATAAGTGCTTTATAAATAAGTCATTCGTTGGTTACCTTTCATGAATCAACTACTTCATAATGTAATTTATTATTTACCAGCGGAGGATACATCTTCGAATGATTTCACTGAGAACGCCATCTCGGTTGAATTATATATTTCACCCCTACAACCACTGACCAACGGGTCACTGAATGTTCTACATTTTTAGTTAATAGTTAATTGGACAACCAAACTTAGGAGAAAAGAGAGTACCTAAAGCAGGAAGTATACGGAGCACTAAACACATTACTTGTAGATCAAGCTGGTGACAGTTCTGTATATTAACGCATACCCACTGGGCCTCTACGGGTCAAACTAGGTGTTTACGTTTGGCAATATTAGATCATAGGAACTACATATGCATTTTCTTTATCTCGTTTCTATCTATCATATTTTCAAATAATACCTCCCCATAGAGTTCAGAATTTTCGACCTAACGGATCGTTTTCATGTACAACATTTAAGAAATAAATTCAAGACCTCAAAAGATTACCAAATTTTCGAGCAGAATAAAAACATCAAGTAAAATGGAGCAGATGGTCAAATGAAATGAAACATTTCAAAAACTACCGAAAGAGGTTTTCAAGTGAAAAGACTTCTAGTGAAAATTATTTTGTTTGTTTTGCAGAATTTAAAATGCATGAAATATCATTCTCCCCACTCAACCCTTCATTCGAACATGAACTCGGTATCTCATCAAATCCAGCTCAATAAGCTTTGTTGGTTAAGAAACGAGTGGCGTAATTCTGTCTGTCATCTACCGCACCGCGCCTTATTTGGAATGACCGTTGCAGGCTGGAGAAAGCCACGTGAAGGCCAGCACATTACGTGGAGACGAGGCATGAAGAAATGCACAGAGCGATGAGGTAAAGTAGGTGTCTCTCGTCTCCCAGGATGGGACTCAAAAGACTCTGAAACCGCATGGTTAGAGACACTGAAGGACATGGCTGCGGACCGACAGCAATGGCGATCATACTGTCACTACTTATCAGACCAGAATGCCTGAAATAGTATGTATGCACAATTGGACTGTGTACCCTGTGTGTTGATCATAGAGGTTCGCTTTCTTTTCCCATCCCTAAAATTAAATCGAATCTCTATTCTCCTTGCACATTGTCACTTACCTTATATCCATTTTTAGTTTGGCATCGATCAGTGAAGTTCGCTTCTCTGTATTACACCGTACAATGATGATGATCAGGATCAGCCGTCATTCCAGTTCCTCCCTCTGTTTAATATCTTTTTTTCTTTTTCAGACGGCCTCACCACCTGCAGAACTGAAATTCCAAATGATCAAAATGGATTCACCTAACAGTGATGAGTTATGTATCGGATGTTCCTGCAAAGTCAAGCTAATAGTCACACTGCCCTCTGGCCGAGTTTCGCCATCCGTTGAATTGTTCGCTCCTGAACTGGAAAACTCTCCAGAAGGTTATGTTTCGGATGCGAAGATGACAAAAACAGGTTCTATGTTGCAGAATAAAATAAACATGGTCCCGATGGTTGTCAAGAAGGAAGACAATAAGGTAAAGAAGTTGAGCTTTGGTTACTAAGTTAATTTCGTGCACTTTTATACATTTCAGTTTTTACTTCACTCCTTTACAAATCATTTTTTATTTCCGTGGATTTGGCCTTTGAATTTCTAGCAATCCCCCGTGTTTTCAAACTGCCACAGCAGTTGACAAGCATGAATTGTGTCACCAAAATGTTTGCACCACCAAAACAGCTCTATTTCAAAAGTTACTTCTGGTCAACTGATATTAATGGAATTGCTAAATTATTCTACCTTGGCAGGTAGATTGACAAGGCCAAAGTCGAAGTGGGAATGTTACTACTTAAAATAAAATCAGTAGTTAAAAAGCTACAGTTGATCCGCTTAACTTTTGGACCATTTTGGATTCTTCTGCTGCAAACAAGCAGATACACATAAGTTCTCCATCACTCTGAGCTCTGCAAATGAGTTTGTCCGTTTTGTGGAAGTGGTTGGATAGGTGAGCTATTTTTGTCGAAGACAAAACCTTGGTTATCTACTTAATTGCCTCAAGGAGGTACAGATTAAATTAATTCAGTAGTGATCCATAATATGGTATTGTTCGAGTGTTTCAATTACAGTTATGCAGGTTAACCCGATTTAAAGAATACCTAGCAGAGGCAATAACAAATTTTCCAGAGGAAATATTGCGAACGTAATTGATGTTCTCAGACAGATTCGAGCGCGCGCTGATGGCGTCAATATAGCTCCAAGATACCAGCCTGTGTCAGATAAACCCTCACTGTCCATTGAATACAATGCGATGTTTAGACGGAACAACCACTTTTCAATTAGATTCCATCAGAAACTTTTACAAGTAAAAACTTCCTCAGACCATCGTTCAAAAGACCATAGCAGTATGAACAGCATGCAGCTCCTCATATTGGATATCTTGGGGGTGTTACGCGAGTTATTCCATTTCAGAGGAAAACTGAAACTACTATAATCTATCGGCAGTCAGCTTGGTAATTTGATAACGTCAATCGGTTTGTTAATTACTATTGCCACTGTTCTAACCCAAGTGATGGTACTGATGGGAATTTCATTCCGGATTAATTGCACAAACACGACTGATATTCAGTTGACATTTTTATTACTGATTGGAAACCATCATTCATATTAAGTCACCGGGTCATATTCATTAATTAATGCTAAGGGTTTAAAACAAACTCATATCGCATAGATTTTTCCAGCTGCAACAGGGATCTATATCAAAATAAGTGTGTATCATGGGTACACAGCAGCGGGCAGACCGGGTTTGAAATTGTTGGCATTCACTCTGAATATTACACCAACATTTGTGGAGAACACTGAAAACCCTTACTATTTCGTTAATGACCTCCTCAGCAAATCTTAAACACTTTAAAATATGTTCCACAGGGAAATAGGGCTCAAACTATTCCATAATATTGGTTTGTCGAGAAGAAAACTATATCCTACTTACGTAAACTGTCTGACAAGTTACTTTTCCACTGAGAAACCTTCGAAAAATCAAGCAGAATAAAATCATTCAATATTATGACGTATAAGTCATCTGTATCCCTACCAACTTTCAGATTAGAAATGAATAGCATTTGGCAATCAATTCACTTTTATACATCAACTATTCTGTTAATAAGTGGATCAATTTGTAAGAGAGAATGAGAATGGTTAACTCCACAAAGATTTTGTGAAGAACATCAAACATGATTTTCATCCTGAAAATCGTTGAATTCGGAAAATGTGTGTGAGTAGAAGATATGGAATCATCAATCGTGAATCTCTTTCGAACGTTGGAAGAAAACATCGATGTAAATGCGAAGTGGTACTTCGCCGAAAGCAATTATCACGCTTGGCCTAGCCGCATTTATGTGCAATTACTACTTCTGATTTTTGTACCATTCTAGGAGGTTCTCAATCTGCAGAATAAATAAATTTGGTAGTATTCTTCGACATGCAAACAAGTTGCACGTTATCAATGAGCATAAATTTATCAAATCAAATATTTATGCAATCAATCCATTGCATACATATGCGTCAAGTTGCGAGTGTAAGCCGAAATACCTTCGAATTCACTGTTCAATTATTCTAGAGATTATGTAATTGTAATTTTCTCCAACTCATTCCACGGATGGGAGTTCATTTGATTTTCCAATTCCCTCTCAGTTACTCTGATAGATCACATTGATTTTATTCTAGGCACAGTTTGTGGTGGCTTTATTCGTTTTGAAATGATCTCGATTTGATGAAAAAGTGGTGTGATTCTCAATAAAATTTATTGTCTGTTCGGACATGTTCTTTCCTAAAAACCATTTGGCCTTTTGTGTATTCTCGATTCACTTCTGAGTCGACTTTTCACAATCACTATAAAGGTCCTTTAAACGTTTCAACTACAGCTATGACGCATCCATCCATATAATCTCGAATATCTCAGAGATAGCGTTGCTGACCCTGATTTCTTCCTAGTTTTCCAAGCAGATGTATACACGCCACCTAGAAACACCTTAGAGAATGCAACCACTTCTGTAACAATATCTGTTGCCCGTTTGTAATGCTCTGTACACACAGCGACCGTTATTCTCCCTCACTCGAAGTGGTTGCGTCATAAGGCAGAACTTGTTTGTATCTGTGTACACTAAGAACTCATCCGGTGAGCATCGCCATGTCCTTCACATTCAACCTGAACTATGCCCCTGCAACGCAGTCGTGTATCTTCTATTATCAGTCAATCGCTCCCAGTTGGCCTTGAGATTCAACAATTGATTTGGGCAACTGGAGGAGATCCCATCACTTATTATACTCCACATTGAACATACTGACTTTTGGAAGAAACGCTTGATACTCAAATATGTTAAGGCTAACGGAGAACTTCGATCCTCGTTGTTTGATGAAAACTGTGACCAGTCTTATCAGATATATCCTATACGTGCTTGACAAGAAGAGTAATATCCAGTGATTGGATGACATCCAGGAGTATTATACCTGTTCCTCAGACGGTATGTTGCTAATTTTGCTCTGTTGTCTGCGCAGCTTCTGCGCTGGACGTTCTGTGGAGAACCAGTTACTGCGAGCTATATTCGATTCATTTATAGGAATTGCTTGTCTGCCCCGTGTGAACTGAAAACAGAATAATTTCTGAACAGGTTAGGTTCAGAATAGTGACAAAAGAAATAATGTTCCTCCATACCACCCCACCCCACCCCATCCCCCATCCCCAGGCATCCGTTCAGATTAATTTATTTTTAGCACTTTTTATACCTTTGTTTTCACAGGCACTCCATATGGGTCTGAGTTTCGGTACATTTAATGTGCCGAGTACCGGTGGGACAAGTGAAGACGATTATTCATTCGAAATTGAATATTCAACTATACTGAAAGATACAACTAAAGTGGGATCAAAGTTAACGTCGGGTGCTGGAGCTCGACAGGGCGATGTGCTGTGGATTGGAGTGATGAATTTGAATGCGGTTGCATCATCAAAAGGCTCAATCTTCGATAAGAGCTGTTCTAGCACGGCAGTAAACCCTGGAGCAATCGAGAAAGTCATCTTCAGTGTGCATGCACCGTATGCTTCAGGAGATTATACGGTATGCTTTTTGTGAAATTGTGTGATCTAAGTGCCAGTGTTCTTCAACATTTTCTAATGTTGTTGTTAGTTCCCTTCTGGAAAACCCATTGTGAACAAATAAGAGACTAAATTTTAGTATGATTCATTTGGTGCGTGGATTTATGCACATTTACAGGATAACATCTGACCGGAAACTGTTACCAAAGTGTGTCTGTCTATACGTGGTTGAAATTGAGATATGTTAACCAAAGAGTGATGATCGAGCCTCGTCGCTACTCATAGTAAGCTGATAAAGAATGAAGCTGACGTGAACTGAGTTAATCAGCTGTCCGGTGTTTCAACGAAGAGTCATTATGAACTCCATCAGTGGGGTCTAGTAGGACACATAGGATTGCTCTGATAAAGGCACAGATAGAGAAGAGGGGCGGCAACAAAGGTGAGCCAAGAACCACAGCTGTCTCCGTTGCAGTTTTGGTGAACTCAAACGATAAACCACCACCATCGAAAGATAAGAGTCATTATTTTCGTCGACAACGAAAGAGACGAAAAAAAACTAAGTCCATTGGTAAAACAGAAGCTGAGGAGGAGGGTCCGCTTAAAATTAGAAGGGCAATAGATAATACGTTCCAGAGCAACATACAGACAAGCTGTTTCAGCCGTGTTTAGTGATGCACAGTTTGCGTTTAACGGTGTGCACTCATCTGATAGATTGGGGTCACTATTGCTCAATGTGCAGAGCGGGGGTGGCGAAATAGGTATGGTAAATAAGATTGCAAAAACATGGTCCGGGCCCCACAAAGACTGACCAAAGTGCATGACAGCACAGTAACTTCGAGACCATCACTAACCACACAGACAGAGGGCACGCACCTTATTATTACTGTTTCTCTGATGAAGTCTTGAATAAAAAACCGTGAGTCCAAATAGCATAATTTCCCACATTTCAGATTACAAGACACTAAACTGATCAGATGAGATTGCATTCCACCCTGTGCATAAAAAGCGCAACGTGACGCACTAGAATGACCTTTGTGAACGAAACAATCAACCTAATTTTGTTTTCCAAAAAGGCTTCGGCCCTTTATTTTTGTCACAAAGTTTCTTATTTCTACATTTCCAGTTGGATATTGTCAGTCCTTCCGATGCTCTATCCATCCTGGATGTCACACTTGTCCCCGGGGAGGGCTTTGCCGATGATTTTGGTACTGCTTCGAAGCAGCCATTTTTGAGAAAAGACCCCTCGCTCATTCGTGTCGATCGATATAGAGTAAACCTTAAAGATGCCAAGAATAAATGTAAGTCGCGTTTTGTACTGTTATTGCCTAATCAAAGGTAACCCGAATTTTCTTATAATTAATTTGGGAAATCTTCATTTTCATAGCCGTGGAACTGAACGGGGTGCCTTCTACGCTGCCCAATCCACATTATGAACCACAAGTTTTCCCACTGTTATATACTTTGCTCTATCACGTTTTCTCAGTTTGGGTGACAATTTCCAACCACGTAACATCGTTTACTTAACTTATAGATTCTCGAAATTTGTGCATTTGCTATCTTTTGTGGGTGCCACATATTTTTGAATTCGCATTCATATTCATCGAATACACAAAATATTCCGTGTTACCTCGTGGCTTATTCGGATAGGGAATCCGAGTAGGCACAGTTTCCATTCATTCATTCTTGCAATGAATAAGTCTCATGGAATTTGAGTTTCTATTTCCATTAACCCACGCTTTTGCACTGATCCAATTTTTATAATCCTATCCACTCTGTCTAGATGCAGCCGACAATTCGAAAACAAAAGAACAATCCGGTTTCTTAGTCGAGGTGACGGTACAAGTTTCACCGTTTGCCAGCAGCAAACCGCGCGTGGACTTTCGTGTTGAATTCCCAAAGCAAGATTCTGATACGCGCTTCTGTGCGTTTGATATTACAACGGACACGTCAAGTTTTACTCAGGTAGCCTATTTAGCCATCTCATCGATAGATCGGTCATTTCAGTAAGCAAGACTTTTATGAGATTTATCGTTGCTTTTTACAGAATCCCTCACTGTCAGTGACATTGGACACACCGAAGTCTACTGTGGATACATTTCGAACTGTGGACGTCTTTGTAGACGTGGTTTTCCCCGCCAAATCCAAACAGCTGTACTTTCTCGAGGCTAGCATGTCGGAGCCGTACAAAGGTGAATTTGGAGCCGTAAGAATTGAGACAAGTGGATCCGGTTTGCCGATATACAAAGCATCGGTAATTATTATTACATTTTATGTATTCTGTACATTTTCTATGTTGTGTAACAAACCTTCGGTAAAACAATACTGAGGAGCTTTTGAGTTATCGTAAAGATAATTTCGGTCGGTCTCAAATAGCTTAAATCTCTAAATTGTTATATTTACCTGGAAATACTTGTTTTCATACTAATTACCATTGAATGAATCTAATTAGGTTGAGTAAATCTTAATAGGAAATTATCTATAAAGCCTTGAAAAAATACGTTTCAAATGTTCCAAAAGTCAAAGATACATGGGATTGCCGCTAGGATAAGATTCCAACCAAATGTCCTTCAGACAGTTCTGACCATCTTTTTAAATTTTTGCTTTTTGCATCGCCCCAAATTACCAACAAATTTGACAATCAGGTTATGACCCTTTCCCGAATGCTTTTAATTCAGCCATAGCTTTATTCAACTTTAAGTGTCAAATCTGGAATAACCATTTAGACTGTTTACAGGCATTGTTCTTGGTCTTGATAACCTCTTTTGACCCTGTAGCTCAGGTAAAAGGGTTTGAAGCCCAGACCCGATTGTTCGCGGCTGGAGTCTTTACAGGGACACGAAAATTTGCACTACTGACGACGCACCAACAGGAGGACGTAGCTGTCCAGTGCTCCTAGTCGGTCATCGCAAAAATTTCGGTCGCTTATAAATTCATTCTACTTTCTTCCGATGCTCACAAACCGCCTTGGTAGAACATGATTTTTCAAAGATATACCTGACTAAAGTCTCCCAATCTCCCACTCTCTAGATAGATTACTGTCATCTGGCACTGCAGGTATATTAGCCAAGACTGGAGCCTTACAGTTTGCTCATATTCCTACTTTTCTTTCCCTTTAATCTCTTTTTCATGAGGTGGTTGTCTTATATTCCAAAATGTTCTAACCTTTCAAACTCTCAAATGAGATGCCTTTGTGATACAAACAAACATCATTCTAACTCAATCAACTCACTCTTTGCTGGGGCCTCGGAAATAACGATAGTGAAAAAACTTCGCTCCAACAGGGAAAAATCCCAACAACTGATAATACATTTTCTACTGCCACAGATCCACTTACAACGTATTGGTCTATTGATCACACATTTGATCTCCCTACACACACCGACAATGAACAGCCGGATCTGATGTCGAGCGGTACTTATCAGGCGTACGACAGAATTGGGCCTCACGGCTTCCTGGTGAAACATTTCTTTCTCTGTCACCATCTGAACCTTAATATGTTTCTAAACATTCACTTTCATCTGTTTTCCACTGAGTCATTTCGAGTGCATTCCTTATTACCTTTGACGAACTACAAGATTTCAAGTTATCTAACACACGCCATACGTTTTTACCGTTGACGACCCATTATTCGGAACAGCTTAGACCATATGATTCCTTGCCAAAGGTACCAGCCTACATAGCTCTCTTTCGTATCACACTTCTTGCGTTTCATGTATCAACATCCTTAGCAATCGCTTATCTCCGTACGCTTTACTCAATTCAGACGTGCGCCATCATTGCGTGGGATACTCAAATCAATTCACTTTAAATGATTGGAAAACCCAAAGCATATATGTAACCCTGAAAGTGTAATTTATTTATTCCAAATATGTGTGTTAGACTGTTATTCACTTACTTCCACATCTTCTACAGTTATGCTCGTATTCTCCATTTCAGTGCATTCATACTTTTTAATTAGCATTTTCCATGTACTGGAGATTCCTCTAACTTTTCCCAAAGGGAAAGATTTTCTCACCTATTCCTAGATTTTCCCTTTTCATAAAGCATATTACTTCTACATTTGAGGTCCGTACCGTCTCCAGGGTTAGCATAGGTTTTAGGCCGTATTTATTTCATAATACCTTTCTCTGTGTCCCCTACTGTTTTGTAATATCCGCTCCTCAACTACTTGTCCATTATTGTCAGATGACCTCGTTGTCAATTTTCTACCATAGATTTTTCCCTGCGGAGATTTCAACTTGGTCCTTTGTTCACTTTCATCTACTCCCGAGCTCCGAGTGCTAAGTCGCTTGTAACACATGACTTGGAAAACATGGCTAGTGTTGCAGTTCAAATCCTCTTTTGTCCAAGAGCCGGAATACTATTGAGCACGGTTCCTTACTGTCTTTTCTCCCTCTCATATGAACCGTCAGTGGCACTGCACATAATCATTGAGCTTGGGACGGATTCTAAACCATCCCCATTATACAGCAGCCTTCATGGTTATGTGATTTATTAGTCTACTATACTCATTCCTGTCTTGTAATAAGGAAAACCGAGTTGAAGGTCTACCTCCAACGATAGTTTTGTACGTTCCTGATATCTTAGGAAAACCTTGCTTGTCATTAAAGGTTTGCGATATTTC